TCCTGAAGTGTTTCCCCAATGTTTTCTTCTAGAAGTTTTATAGTTTGGATCTTACATTTGAGTCTTTAATCCATTTTGAGTTGATTTTGGTATACGGTGATAGATAGGGGTCTAGTTTCATTCTTCTGCGTATGGATCTGCAATTTTTCTAGCACCTTTTATTGAAGAAGCTGTTCTTTCTCCAATGTTCATTCTTGGCTCCTTTCTCAAAAATCAGTTGGCTGTAGGTATGTGGATTTATTTGAATTCACTATTCTGATTCATTGGTCTATGTGTCTGTTTTTGTGCCAGTACCATGCTGTTTTGATTACTGTAGCTTTGTAGTATATTTTGAAGTCAGGGAATGTGATGCCTCCTGCTTTGTTCTTTTTGCTCAGGACTGCTTTCACTATTTGGGGTCTTTTCTTGTTCCATATAAATTTTAGGATTTTATTTTTTTAATTTCTGTGAAGTATGTCTTAGTAGTTTGATGGAGATTGCATTAAATATATAGATCGCTTTGGGTAGTATGGTCATTTTGATGATATTTATTCTTCCAATCCGTGTGCATGGGATGTCTTTCCATTTTTTTGTGTCTTCTTTAATCAGTGTTTTATAGTTTTCCTTGTAGAGATCTTTCACCTCCTTTGTTAAATTTATTCCTAGGTATTTTTGTTGTTTTTCCTTGCTATTTTAAATGAGATAGATTTCTTGATTTCTTTTTCTGCAAGTTTGTTGTTGGTGCCTAGAAATGCTACTGATTTTTGTATGTTGATTTTGTTTGCTGCAACTTTACTGAATTTGTTTATCACATCTAGGAGTTTTTTTGTAGAGTATTTAGGTTTCTCTCTCTATAAAATCATGTCATCTGCAAACAGGGACAACTTGACTTCCTCCTTTCCAATTTGGATGCCCCTTATTTCTTTCTCTTGCCTAATTGCTCTGGCTAGGCATTTTTTCTTTTTAACATCATTTCATACATACTTTTGTACAGGAAAATTCTGAGTGCTCATAGAGGCTATTTCACATTTTTGATTGCCCAGAATCAGAACATCTTATTTGGAGGAATTCCAAGGTACTTGGGACAGAGTGCACTGATTTCCACTATGGAAGCCAAAAGGCTGGAGTTAGTTCTTCACTCATCCTTCTATCTTTATGCAAGGCGACTTGGGCATGAACTAGGCTCAGCTAATTAGATGTTCCCATCTGGATGGAGGCAAGATACCAAGGCATATGGATAGTCAAAGGCCCTTCTGGGTGTTAGCTGTCATGGAGGTGATCCCCAACAGCACTTGGTCCAGGACCTGCAGCAGCAGGGCTGTGTACTAAGACTGTTCCTGTGGCAGAATTTTAGCTATGCCTCACTTTCTTTACTTGCTGTCCATTTCTAGACTGGCTTTCCAAGCATTTTGATAATTCTAGGAGCGAGCTAATATCTTTTTTCATAATGTTTCTGTTTTTAGAATTTTTTGTTTTTGCAACCATACTTCATTGCAAAATTTACTTGGTTGCAAAAAGTATCCTAATGAATAATGAGCCTACTATAATTTTCTTTTCTTTTTTTTAATTTTTTTTATTTTTTATTTTTATTTTTTGTCCCGCTTCCCAAGCGGTGCACTTATCCAGTGCGCCACCGGGCCGGCCTTTTCTTTTTTTTTAAAGGAAAGTAATTTTATTAATATTTTTTACATTCTAGGATGTTGTTGCAGAGCAGTTTAGGAGGGAGGGGGAGAGGAGAAAGGAGAAGGAAATGGGATGGAAGAAGGAGGAAGGAGGAGGGGCAGGATTGAGGCTTGTGGTTCTCCCCTCATTTCCACAGGGGAGACTGGGGAGCTTCCAGCAGTGGCTTGGTCATTGCCAGGCTGGGTGCAGATGTCAGGGTGTGTGGCAAAAGCCCTTGCCTCCCCCTGTCCCAGCTCAGGCACCTGGGGCCCTTCTTGCTGCGGCTTGGCCATGGTTGCTGGGCTGGTTGCACTTGTTGGGGGGGAATGTCTGAGGCCTGAGGCCTTGCACTGCCCCAGCTCAGGAGAGCCTTGGGTGCTTCCTGTGGTGGCTCAGTGGTCACTGCTAGACTGGCTGTGCATGTCGAGGTTCCCCAGTGCCCTGGCTAGGAGAGCCTGGGGTGCTTCCTATGGTGACTCGGTGGTTGCCACTGGGCTGGCTGCCTGTGTTGAGGTGGGTGTGGCCAAGGCCCTTGTCCCCACCCTGAGATTGGTTGCAGGTGTTGGGGGACATTGCTGAGGCCCCTGGCCGCCCCACTTTCTGGCTTGGTAGCCCAGGGGACTTCCGGTCCTTTTAGGTGTTATAGGTGTTCTTTGGTGAGATGAGACTTTACTAGTTAATATCAAACTTTGTCTCTGATTGTGGGTACTTTGTTTTTTCTTTCAGTTCTGTGCTGGATTATTTGCTGTTCCCACCATTTAAACTCTGTGCTGGAGCTAATTTGTTGTCCTTTACTTTCCTCTAAAGTGGGGGAACTTCCTGTGGGGACCAGTACTTGAGCTCTGTGGTTGTGCTAAATGGCTGCTTTGCTGCTGATTCCCTGGGGAAGGCTTTTTGTGCAGATCAGGCTTTAATGGTTGACTTTATAGATACTTCCAGCTCTTGAGAGATCCAATATACCTGAGTTGTGTAAAAATTCTGGTCTTGGCCTGAGTCTTTTCATCAAACTGTACCCCATGCAATTCTATATTCCTGATCAGTCTCCTCTGTGTGGTCCTCTGCTGATTGGGGTGCAGATCAGCTGTCCTTGCTGTGCCCCAGTGCTCTCCTGGTGGGCCCATCCACCCCCCCTGCCACCCGTGCTGCAAACACTTCCTATGGGATGGGCCATGCACCTGTCCCTTGTGATGACTCACTGGCCTCTGAGTGGCTCCTTTTTTTCAGTTGTTGTGGCTCCTTGCTCCGATGTGGGTCCATGGGAACCCTATTAGTGGTCTTGCTGGCCTGGGGGCCAACCATGGCCCTCTTCTTCCCTGCAGCCTCCAAGCAACTTCATCTGAAGGGCATAGCTGCAGCTTTTGCTGGCTCCTGCACTGTGCTCTCAGCAGCTCCAGCCTGGACATGGCCAGGGCTCGAAATGGTCAGAGCCGTTTTTTCTTTCTTTCATCATGGCTTCTCCCACCTTCATATATTCCATAGGTCTCTCCTCTTCTTCCCCTGAGCTCTAATAGCTGCTCCAGCTTGGCTGTTGTTGCTTTTGTATAGTTGTAAATTGGTTGATTTGTGGGAGAGAGTGATGCTGGGGACCGTCTATTCCACCATCTTGACCAGAAACCCCCTACTATAATTTACATTGTTGTTTTTAATGTGCTGGGCATCCTTGTCATGGATCAAAGTTAATTGTTTCATACCCTAGCTAGCGTATTTTTTCACTGATGTTTTTTCATTTCAGGTTTTTAGATTTCTCAGAGGTACTACTCAGTAAAGATTTGAGATCCCCCTAATTTGTAATATAAAAGTCTAAAGCTCCTCTTTTTGATTGTATTGTACAGGAAAACTGGTTCCTTTTGTTTTGTTGTAGTGGAGCCAAAGGAATTTAAAATGTATCCTATTTTGGCAGCACAAAAAACATTAATTATAACCTTTAATTTGCAAAATATATAGGACACAGAAGCTGCTGGTTCCCTCAGGGCTGCTGTAGCTGATTATGTTGATCATGCTGGGGACTGTCACGTCTGAATTGTGTCCTCAAAAAAGACATTGACATCCTGTGCAGAACTTCAGCCCTAACCTCCAGTAACTGCCTGTGATCTTCTTTGGAAAAAGGTTTTGCAGATGGTTAAGATGAAGTTATTAGAATGGGCCTTAATCCACTATGACTGGCCTTATAAAAAGGGGAAGTTTGAACATAGAGACAGACATGTACAAAGGGAAGAGGTTGTAAAGACATGGAGAGAATGCCTTCTATAAGCCAAGGATGCCTGAGGCTATCAGATGCTGGGAGAGAGCATGAGCAGATTCTCCCTCACAGCCCTCAGAAGGAACCAGTCCTGCCAACTTGACCTCAGATTTTTAGCTCGCCAAACTGAAGGCAATAAATTTGTCATTTAAACCACATAGTTTGTGATACTTTGTTATGGCAGTCTCAGGAAATCAATACTAATACAGGGACCTTTTTTTCTAACTTTGTCAAGCAGTTATAACTACTTGCCAAGTCCATGGGACTACATACTCCCTGAGGGAGCAATTTTTCTAATGGACAACTGTTAGCAGCCTAACTTTCTTTTAAGAAAACCAGCCTACTCTTTGTGGCAAACTGGTCTGAATGTTTGTGTCCCCCCAAAATTCATATGTTGAAACCTAATCAGAAATGTGATGGTGTTAGGAGGTTAGGCATTTGGGAAGCAATTGAGTCATGAGGGCTCTGCCCTTATGAAAGAGGCCCCAGAGTTGCCTTGCTTCTTCCACCATGTGAGGGCACAGTGAATAGGTTCCTTCTATGAACCAGGAAACAGGCCCTCACCAGAATCTGCCAGCATTTGATCTTGGACTTTCTAGCCTTCAGAACTGTGAGAAATAAATTTCTGTTGTTTATTAGCCATCCATTCCTATGGTATTTTGTTATAGCAGCTCAAATGGACTAAGACAGCTACCAAATGGTGTCTGACTGACTGTGTAACAAAACCAGCCTACTGTATTAACAGTATGTTTGAAGGAGATTATTAGGCACATGACCAGTTCAAATAAATTAATTAACAATCCTTAACACTAACTGGGACATTTTCATTGTTAGGAAATCAGTCCAGGCCTCAAAACCATTTCTACATTAGATTCTATACATCAAAGCCACAAAATTTAATAGTCTTCCTCAAGATATCATTTACTTTTTTTTCCTGCTTTAAAATTACATGCATTTTTCTTCACATTTTTGGGGTGAGAGGGAGAATGGAGGATCATCAGATGGCAAGGAACCTATGATCAAGAGTAGTGATATCATTGAAAAACTGTCAAGAGTTTTCCTTAAGTCATATTGTATTGGGTTATAGATGTTTGATTGAAAGAAAAAATAACTACCAAAGACCAAGGATCATATGTTTAATTTTACTGTTTGAAATCTATAGTTGCAGAGTGGTTCAGGGTCATTTCTCATACCACTATACAATGCATTCACACATATTTAGAACACTTACAAAAAAGTTCTTTAAAATATTGTGCTGTAATAGAATTTATCCTGTTTTACTGGCCAAGCATAAATAATATACCCCAAATGCATGTTTCTCTAATTTTCCTCATACAATATTATTGTCATTTATTTGTTTATTTATAGCTAATCTGTATATGCATAGAACTGGGGATATTATTTTACTGCAACAACCTTTATAAAAAGGTCATGAAGTTTAAAAGTATATTTTGTATTAAGAGTATTTAATATTCCTCTCCAAACCTCTAGCTGCTGTTTGCTCACTATTTTTAAGGTGAAGCTTCCCGTTTCTTGTTGAATTACTTAGGTAAAGCTGAGCAGGCTCAAATGGTCCCACTGCCACCTTAAGCAAGTATTTGTTCTTTGGGCATAAATCATTTCATCAGTATGGGTATTTCCTGAGTACCCACTCAAAGGCCCACTCCCCAGCAGGAGTTCTTATATAGAGAATACAAAATGACTTATAGTGATTGGTCAGATTTGGACAAACATCTTATGTACACCATTTTTTAGAAGTAACTCTTGTCTTTCGGAATTATGGATTTTCTATAACTGGGGGTGTGTGTGGTGTGACTAGAATAAGTGCAATGCTGGCATCTTGCTAGGGAGGAACAGGTGCAGGTTTAGAATTAGAGCTCATCTTAGAAGGTTCTTTTCTCATGATAGCTTCATGTTAGAAGGAAGGACAGAGCACAGAGGCAGAGCTGATGCAGTCTCATACAGTTAATAACAGCTAATACCATATGTCAGGCACCTTGCTGCTACTCCTTAGCAAATATCTATTTAACACATCTAAATGCCCTTTAGCTCTTTCTCTTCTACAACGTAAATCAGTCCTGGTGTCCTCTTCTTCCCTTCCCTTTCTCCCCTGCCGCTTGACGGCCTTTTGCTGTCTCTCTGTTATTTGCTACTGTTTGTTCCCTCACTCATCAAAGGCACATGGTGATGCAAGAGAGAATGCCACCCTGTGTTTAGTCCATTAAACTCATTATTAAAATAGGAACTGAAAAGGAAAAAAATGGAAACCAGAAATAAAGCAGACTTGGAATCCATGAACGTGGGGCCATTGATAGTTAAGAGAGAATCATTCTGAACAGTAACTTGATGTAGTTGAAAGAATTCTGGGCTTGAGGTCAAAAGACTTAGGTCTAGGTCTCGGATCTGTTACTTCTAGCTATATGTCCTTAAACAAGTGAGCACTTTCTGAGCTTAAGTTTCCTCGTCTGTCAAATGGGAAAAAACACATGTCTTACCAATCAAAGAAAATTGTGGGTATCAGATGAGACAATATGCTTAAAACCCTCTTGTAAATGATAAAGTTCTCTGTAAACATAAATTGATGGATTAGAAGTGGATGTAAAGGAGAAAAATGATTTATCTGGTTTAAAATCATTAATAAAATTTTATTATAGTTTGGATATGTGAACTAAATATGGTTGGCTTTCTTCTCATAGGGCCCTATTTTAATTTCTTTTTCTCTCTGTTCACAAAGTTGCTGACCCTGAGTGATGATGTCAGTGTCTTCTTTTTATAATGCTCTAAGCTTCAGCTTCTAGGAGCCTGCGAGGATGGTCTGTGCTATAACAAAGCCAGGACCTAAAAGATAGGTTTGAATCTCACTTGAAAAAGATGCAGTTTCACACAGTAATGGGAAGGAAATTTTTGGCTACTGCTATAAAACAAGGATCACTACCAAAAATGAAAGAAATATTAAAGAAAAGCTTCCATGGCAATGACTTCCTGCAGAAAATTTGATCCGACCTTCAACTGCTGGATAAATTACTTTCATTTTTAGGATGTATTCAGAAACCACGTTGATATCTTGGTCACCTAGAAAAATACATACATTATTTTAACTATAGAAAAAGTAATTATCAGTTAACAGTGAGAGAGAGGGAAAAAAACAAAGTATTTCTCTAAAGTCCTTTGTGATTTTAAGGGGGAAGGTATTCCTTTTATAAGCAGAGACGCAGTGTCACAGAAGACAAGACCACTGGTGATAGTAAGCTCAAAGAATTTGATTGCTTTTTTATATTTCAGATGTAAAATGTATCCATTGTTCAATAATCGGTAATTGGGGGAAGGAGAGGTGTCTCAGCTCTGAGATGACTCAAGAAAAAGGTCGTTGACATCACAGCCTTTGAACCACTCCAGAAAAAGGGCATTATTGAATTGGGTCAAGAGCAGGTAGTTGAGAGATAAAAGTGGCATCTTTTTGCTTGCCTGCTCAAGAATTATTTTTACATAATTGATGGTGGCACAATGGGGGCTTTATTTCCGAAAAAGAGTACAGGTGATAAAGAGATACTAATTGCCTATAGCTACAACAAGCCCATGGGGACCCACCAAAATTGTTATTTTAAAATTATCACTGTAGTACTTAAAAAACTAACTCTTCTCTCTGCGGAGGTTCTCACCCCTGGAGGTACATTAGAATCACTGGAAGAGACTTTAGCCCCAACGCAGTTAAATTAGAATCTCCTAAGAGCTGGGGCCAAGGCTATGCTTGAGAACCGTTAGGTTCAGGGCTTCCTCAGCCTTCTGCATGATTTCCTTCTCTTCAACACCCATTAGTATGGGCTTGGGTGATGCACAGCTATCAGCCGCTTTGTCTCTCATGTGGGGCTTTTAAGCCTGCCCTTCCATTTTCTGTCATGGAATGGACAGAAGTAGCACCTTTTCTCCCAGGAAGGGCTACCTCCTTTGCCCTGGCTCTGCCTTCTCCCCTCCTTGTAATAAGCAGCTAAAATGGCAGGTCCACCATGGTACGACTGAGGGGGAACCTGGCTGACCTCCCCAGAGATGGAGAGAAGCTGTGTATGTGCCTTATAAGTGTGTTGGTTTCTGCCCTAGGAAGAAGACGGGAAAGTTTGTTCTGTTGGTGGACTTTATGCACTTTGGTGGCTCGCAATTGGATTTCTAAAAATGAGGCTGGCATATAATGACCCTCAATGCTGCCAAAAATATTAGCTGACTTCAAGTATGGTTGTTCCTATAATTTGCTCCATCAGTCCACTGTGCTGAAAGGGGGGCGTCTATCCCATCCACTCCTATCTGACTTATTCACACTGAACGCTTCTTCAAGAAAGAAAATTCAGATGATTTAATATGGTTTTCCTTGTCTGACCTAAAGTTCTAAAGGTGTGATTTTTCTGGAAATGCAAAACTCATTTATATTTCACAATTTAAATAGCAACTTAGATGTAATTTTAAAAGTTTTAAAAACTTTTTTTGACATAAAAATGATTTTTCCCTGGAGATGGGTGGATGTGTATGTGTGCTGGGGGAATGACAGAGTACATAGCCCTCAGTGCTGTGCTGCTGCTTTCCAACAAGCGAAGCAGGAGGGAGTCTGCAGCATAGGGACAAAATCTGGTTTCCGGCTGTTGCCCTCCTACCACCATGAGTAGCTTCTCTTCTCGGCCCAGTTCTGTTTTTTTATTTGTTTGTTTGAGTACCTTTGGGATAGGGAAAGAAAGAGACACTTGTACTTACCAGAGTCATGTTTTAATAGTTCGTCTTTTATCATCTGGAATCCATCTCCACCCTTGGCCAGGAAGCTCGGGAGGATCACCTTATATACCTCATCCATTTTGAGAGGGTTGTAACTGGGCACTCGACACTTGGTGCAAAGAACATCTAATTTGACCACTCTGTCTCCAGGTTTTCTGGAAAGATCATATACCACATGGATTCCTAGAAAAGAAATGAGTATGTATGTTTTCACCAGATTGAAAGGGAGGTTTCTGTTTTCTAAGAAAGGGATTTTGGTCAAGATCTGTAATTGGGTCCCTGGGTCTGGTTTTCCTTTATTTGAGCTTGAGTGAAATTTCATCAAGAGAATTGAGGTAATGTTGCAGCTGCCCTTTCTTCGTTAGCTTTATCCTTGAGTCCTTTCAGGAGATGTGAGAACCACTGGGAGGAAAACTGGCTCTGGACTGGAATGGGCAAAGGGTGACTTTGCAGGGAGAAACCACATCTTGTTTTTCCTTTTTAAAATCTTGAATTAATTGGTCCATAATTTGGTTTAATGGTTTTCAAAAACAAGAAATAGATGAGAGGCACAGAGCATTTGTTACAATTTTGAAGACTACTAATCTGGGATTGGGAGACTTTCACAAACCAAAGCTACCCAGCACTTTGCTAGAGCATCAAAACATTGTGTTCTGCAGGAGTACTCAGAAATGCAATTACACTCATCAGTGGTGCCACAATCTAAAGCCAAAACAGTGAGACCAGAATATGGCTTTGGAGTAAAATAAAATTATCAGTTTAAGGATTAATTTACTGGACTGTGTAATTAATTATTGACAAAAGCATTTCAGAAGCTCTTGGCAATTTGGGAAACATTTATTTCCATTCAATCTTCTCTGCAATCTATGGGATAAGCAGGACAGGTTTTCTCAGAGAGGTTGAAGACTTGCCTCAGGTCACTTTGGGACTAGAACCAGGTGTTGCAGCATGTCTGAGCAGCAGGCTGCCCCTCCCAGAAATCATCTTAGTTAATACTGATTGGACACTGCATTCTTTGAACCTTGAAATGGTTCTAGGCAATTGCAAATAGAACAGAGGAGAGAATTTTTTTTAAACAAAGAATATTGAATGCTTAAACAACTAAGATTTTAACAGAAACTAGACCTCAAGGCAGCTGACCTACTTAGAGTTTAGAGGGCCAGCTCCCGTGGAGGGCCCATCTGATGTCCAAATCAGACTTGGCAAATATTGCTCATTGCCAGGGTTTTGTGACTTTGACTTCAACTTAATCTCAGTTGCTTTGAGAGTCCACAGCCATTGAAAGATGATGTACATTGATGTTGAGTGGGGGAAAACCCAAACAAGCCTGACCACGGAGGTCCTGATGGGGAGGGAACTGAGCCAACAAGCAGGAAATCCCATGTCACTTTGGATGGGCCCGCCTGCAGGAGAGGTGACTTACCGCCTACCTGCAGGAACTCTCCAGTGGACTGGCCATAGCGGTACACGCTGTGCTCAAAGGCCTTCTTCAGGGTGGAGCCTTTCAATTGGACCAGGTCAAATGTGCCTCCAAAGGGCAACACAGCAGCCAGGCTCTCCCAGGTAATCGTGCCTGAGGGTAGTCACAGATGAGGCAAGAAAGAAAACAGCTTAAGAAAATGCTTACCCCAAGACCTTTCTCTCAGGGCTGGGGGAGGTAGTAAGGGAGAGACAGTGGCTCATAAAGCCGCACCAGCTGTGTCTAAGTGCTCCTGACACTTAGGGAAAGAATGGATTCAAGAGGCCTCTGTCCCTGTCCTCCACAACTGGGCAGGATGGCAGGAGCTCATGAATGCCCATGGCCAAAAGTCCACAAGTGCTTAGCCTTTGATCTTCTGGCATGGGGCTGGATCTTCAGTAGGTTGTTAAGCAGTGCTCAGTTCCTCCAGACAGTGTGTCCTTGCCACCTGTCCCTGTCGTCTGACAATGAGATGAGCTTGGGGCCTTACACTGATACTGATTGGTTTCGACAGTGTATCAAGGAAAGCTACAAGAGTGTCTTGAATATCTGTCTAGTTGATGTGTTCTACCATATGATATAATCTTGGATATCTGTAAATACACTAAAATTACAACTTAATCCAGTGGTATATCTTCTCCAGCACAGAAGATTGGTAATTTTATCTTTCTCTTTTGAGATGCGAAGGAGGAGGCTGTCGATAACAATTAGTATTTAGCTTTGTGAGTCAGAAATTTAAACCAAGCTTGGGTTCCACTAATCCTAGCACTGCTTCTGCATGTGAATACATAGGAGAACACACAAGCTTTGTGTGTCCTTCAGGCTAGGCTTTGGACTTGAGTAATAGCTAACCCAAGCCTAAAGGACTGACATTTTAGTACGTGATTGGCAGCAGAGATGAGCTGAGGCTGCCCATGGGCATGGTCAGGGCAGGAGTCCTGGTGGGAAAGCAGGTCAGAAAGCACAGCCAGTTGAGCATGCAGGGCCTGGGGTGCCCACCATTGTTGTTCTGCTCATTGATGGGTGACCGGATACCACCTCCATTTAAAATGCACATGGACACGTGGTTCCAGATGATTTCATCCGAGTGTCTAAGGTTGTTGTTAATCTGCAACAGTAGCACAAATTTACATTAGTTATTCTGGATCTTCTTCCTTAGCATCATTTCCAGGAATCTGGTTAGCTCTACTGAGGAAATAAAGCTGGTTTTTCCCTACTCCTGTGTTCCCAGAGATTTCTCAGCTATAATTAATTAGAACTAGTTTTATGTTCTGATAAGCAAAAATACAACTTTGTGACCAGTCCTGTGATAGACTCTTAGAAACAGGGAGCTCTTAGTCCCCTCTCCTGTACTCTCAGGCCAGCCTGAACACTAGACATGCCAATTAGAACTTGGCCTCCATGTGTGTATCCCCAGCCAATTCCTAAATTGGCAATTTTGGAGGCACAGGGACAGCCTACTGAAACTGGGGAGAATCAAGTTTATTCTTACTTTTCTTTTATAAAATATGAGTTTATTTACAAGAAATAAAATGAATAAATTCTAATTAAAAAAAAAATAGTGCAAAAAGCAAAAGTTCTCTTATATTTGCCTCAGCCTCTTTACCAGAGAAGTAAGTACTGCTAATAGCCTGAGGTGCTTCATGCAGACCTTCATCTAAATATTTACATACTGGCTTCTTTTTACCTTCTTGCACTTACTGCATTATGCTGAGGAGCCAGCATGGGTATCTTGGAAAGCGTTAATGTTGTCATTTACTTGGAAAAGGTTTATTGAGTGCAGCTCTATCCCAGACACCAGGTACCACGCACCACGTACCATGCACTTTTCACTGCATGCTGAGCACTGACAAAGAAATGACTCCCCTGGGTGAGGGCTGTTACCCATGAGGGTGGTGAGTCTGACTTGGGAGACCTTGGCTCAGCATGGCCCCCAGCAAGATTCCACAGCCAGTCTGCCCACAGACAAGTGGACAGGGGGTACTTGTCATGGGTGATCTTGCTCAGACACAGGACTTATCTTTATAACTGTGTTGTGAAAGAGGTTCCAGTCACACAGGGTTTAGGTTCTCTGGAGCCAAGTAGATGAGGGAGAGACAGTTTGGCCAAGTTAGGTCCAAGCGGATGTATTTTATCTACTATGTTGACATCATTGGGGTGGAAGGGTTTGTCTGTGTATTTGGATCATCTTACAAAAGGAAAGCAATATCCAAAATTTAGACATCCAAGAAGAACATTTTAAAATAAAGGTTTCAGTTCTTGTAAAGCAATAAACTGATGGTCACCTGACCTGGTTTGGGCACCTTGCCAAGGGACTTGGTATGAAACCATGCCAACCTTTTGTCTGGACACTCATTTTTCAAAATCCACAATTCTGCAGTCCCTTCTTGCATCCTTCCTTCTTCTTTCCTTCTTCCTTTCCTCCCTCCACACATATAGGCCTCCGCTCCTGCAGACAACTTACCATAGCATCACAAATCAGGTTGCCCATGTTGCATTCTTTAAAGCGGCATGATTGAGTGGTGCCATCAAGATAGACAATTGTTTTCCCCAATTCCTGGGTAGAAAAATTATCTAATTTTATTCTCCATTTGTTAATGTCTGCTTTTATGGTTGGATCTAAGAGAAAAAGAAAAGAAAGGAAGGTAGAAAGGACAGTATTTTATAGTTAAAGCAGATCTCACAATGGGCTAAATTACGGAGAACGAGTCAAACATCATCTAGTTTACCTGCTGTGACTACACATTTCTTTACCATATTATGAGCACTTTGATTTTGACCATGAAATTTCCTTAGGAACCTCTATTTTGTTTCCTGGTAATAAGATCTGAAATGGGTCTTAACTTAAGGATATGCTGAACGTCTTAATATCAACTTATCACATCTAAATGAACTACCTGTTGGCTCACCTGGGATAGCATTAGTGGTGGTGGTAGGAGCTCTGAAATGCCCAGGGACAGATGTAAAGGGCCTGCTGAGGTGCTGCTTTGCTGTCACTGTCTGTGCGGTCCATGGCCCCTCCCCCTTCCCTTCTGACTATTGAGGATCTGAAATGGGTCTTAACTTAAGGATATGCTGAACGTCTTAATATCAACTTATCACATCTGAATGAACTACCTGTTGGCTCACCTGGGATAGCATTAGTGGTGGTGGTAGGAGCTCTGAAATGCCCAGGGACAGATATAAAGGGCCTGCTGAGGTGCTGCTTTGCTGTCACTGTCTGTGCGGTCCATGGCCCCTCCCCCTTCCCTTCTGACTATTGAAAGGCCTGAGTTGTGACCACAGGCTCTGCTGGGTGCTGTGGTGCCTCACCGCCCTCCTTCCTGATCTGATCATGGTAAACAGGAAAGGGCAGGTGAGAAAGAAGCACAGGAGTGTGTTCATGTATCCTATGTGAAAATGGATGTCATAAAAATGTATTTTTACTCTGAATCCCAGACAAAAAAGTAAGAAAGGTATTTCTCATTTGGTAAATAAACTGATGCCCATTGAGACTAAAACTTGCCCAAGGCACACTGCCCCCAGTGGGGGGGCCAGAATTTGAGCTCACTGGGCCCAGTTTGAACTCTTTGGCTTCAGTAATCAGCGTTCCTCTGGACATGAGCTGAGAGTGACTTTCACATGTCAGGATCAAGCTTTTAAAAAGGCTGCACAGAGTCTGATGCTGAGAGGACTTGGAGAAGCAAATGGGGATTTTATCATTTGGTGTGTTTTGAATTTCCTTATCTATGAAGGGGGTAAACTCAAGGGAGAAGCTAAATTCTTCAAAAATATCTTTTCTTGAAACCTTTTAAAAGGGTTGGGGGAAGGAACAAATCCAGCCACCTAATTTTTAGATTGGTGGAACATTCCCTTGAATTTCACATACCTTCAGGAATGCTGCTGTTTAGAAGGATGGGGTTTCCATGTGAAGTGATTACATTTCCTTTTTCATCAAACATGACCTTCAAATAGCCTAGGTACTTGCCAAAAGCATAGGCCTGGACCACAGGAACCTTCCGCCCATCATCGGAGGTCACTATGAATGGGTACTTCCCAGCAGGCACTTCTTTGGAAGGTGGATTGCCTGAAATAAAAGAGCCAAAGCTGATCAAGTCAGCCCTTGTACATGGCTGGCTGCAAGCCAGGAGGCCACCAGCTGGATGATGGAGTTTCAAATTGATGATTTGCCAGCTGCTGCTCTGCATAGCTGGTCTTTTAGAGCCCTGCCTGGGCATTTGCCCCTGTTTCAGAATGCCCTTTTGGCACATGAATTCTTATATTCTTAGCTCAGCAGGCATTTGCTAAGCTCTTCCTAAATCCAGGGCATTGTGCCTGGTGCTGTGAGGCACATAAAGATGGAATACTGCTAAGATTATCCTACCTCTGTCCTGACCCTGGCTCTGTTCTCACTAGCTGTGGATTAGCCAAGCCATTTCACTTTACTGTACTTCAGTTTCCTTGCCAGCAATGGGCAAAATAACAATTCCTATTTCACAGGGCTGCTGAAAGGGTCAAATGTCTAAACTCTTAGCATGTTGCCTGGCACAAAGTAGTTGCTCAGTAAATGTATGTTTCTTTCCTTATAAAGTGATGGCAATCTCTAGAAACCCTGGACACATACTCCATAGCTTAGAATCTAACAGAAGATGAGCAGAAATGACAAAGAGCTGTCCTTTGGTTTTGCTGCTAAATTCTGCATCCCCTCAGGTGCCTTTTGGAAGAGCCACAATCACCCTGGGGGCCGAGCATCACGCACTACCCATCCCATCTAGCTGTCATACCAGTCAGGTCCTGCAGGCCTCTGTATTGAAGGGGGCCTTGGGGAGAGCTTGGGAGCCACTCACCCAGAGGCTGGAGGCCCACCCCACCACTGCCTGCAAGAAGTGGGTGCGTGGCCTCACAGGGAGCATGGAGCCTGGCCTCTAATCACTTGTCACATTTAAGTTCTTTAACTGTATCCCTCCCTCAGGTCCACTGTGGTTCATGTCTCACCTCACAGAGACAATGACATTGTTCAGGATGTTTCAAATCACAGAATATGGAACAGATACCCTTGACCCTACTGATGTTTCCATCACCTCCCTCACTACACCCATGACAAGTCCTTCCTGATGGATACTTACAGAGGCTCCAGAGAACTTCAGTACATGTTGGTTACACACATGGACCAGTTATGAAAGTCAGCCACAAGCCAGGCCCTGGGCTGTATCTCGTTTAGTTCTTCAAGCTTCTTATGAGACAGATCCTATTATTATTTGTACTTTACAGACAAGGAGACTGATTGTCATAGGCACAGTGCCCAAGATCACACAGTTGGTATGTGATGGGGAGCAGATTGAAAAGCAGGGTTGTGAAGCACTGGAGCTTGTGTTCTCTTCACTATCCACCACAGCCTACCATGTGTTATTCTCATCGTCTGTAAGCTGGTTGCCAAAGGCCACTTAACCAAATCAAATGCAAACCCAAGGTTTGCACTTTTGTGTCCCAAGCTCTTTCTGGGCTTCTTTCCTCACCTAAGACACAGTGGGATGGCATGTTTTAATGAACCCACTCCTGCCATGCTGCTATGCCAAGAGAAGCCCCCTTTCAGCTCAATAACTACAGGGCAGAAAGAAGTACTGCAAATACCAGCACTTCACAAGCAGGGCAAGCTGTTGCCAACCTTAATATCCCATTTTCTGGTTCCCTCTGGGGAAAAGAAAAAGTCTTGGAACTTTACTATTACAAAAGCACCTGACTTGAGATCCAGCAAGAGTCTCGTTCCACCTCCATCTGCAGTGTATGACCTCAATGTCGAGATGTTGATTGTGATGGCAGCAGACGATCTGATGCATGGCAGAGTGGCAGAGAAGGTTCACACTCTAATCATCCTCATTCTGCTCTGTGCTGGTCCTAATTTGGACAAACCTGGAGTCTGGTCTTTACTTCAAGGGACCAGGGGCAGACCCCTCCCAGCCTCTGTCTATTCCTCCTCTGAGCGCAGATATGCTTGAGAAGGTGCAGTTCCAGAAATGTCCACAAGGTGGCAAAAACACCCCGTCCAGGAGGAAAAAGCACTAATTAGTAGCAGAAATCAGGTGTGGCAGTTTCCTGTAAACCCAAGAGAATGACAAGCCTTACTTTTTTTAGCCTTTATTTTTCTGACTTCCATAAAAATGTCTGAATTTAAACAGAATGTAATAATTAGGAATAAATGATGTGGCCAAATGCCTCGTCAGATCAGCATGCATTCTGCAACAGAAGCTAGCAATTCCCAGCTCCCATCTGACAGGGAACATCCCCCAGTTTGGAAAGGCCGTAATTTTCCTTTTGTTAGAACAAAAGATGTGTCATCGGCATCTTAAATGGACTTAATCATGAACAAAGAGGGTGCCACTCACGTGGCTGGGGCAATAACTGGTCTAGTTTGGCTAATCTCTGCCTCCTCCACAGGTGAACTCTCTCTGCTCCCCACAACTTGGAAATCCCAGAAAACCATTGGCAGAGAAAGCAATCCAGAGCTTCATATTTTCCATACCATTCCATGCTATCCAGCCAAAGATACTCATGCCTAAAATATTCTCTCCACACAGAGCCACACATCTGTCTTTGGAAACTCAACTTGTCATTTTGACAAGAGAGAAATTGTTCACCAGAACTCTGTTCCAGTCACCTAGCCAATAATTAGTTCAGGAACCATACCAGGAGGGGCCATGGAGTTGTGGACTGACATCTGAGTTGGTAAATGAGGCATTTTCTAGCATCATGCGGTGCCTAAAGGAACCTCCCAGAGCCAAGGAATGGTGATCCCAGGTGCTGGACAACTGCTCTCTGAGTGTCACATGGTAACAGGCAGAGGCTCCAGGAGGCAGGCCTTTGGCGTGGCTGAATTATAGAATATTTAAAGGCAGTCCGTGCTGTGGTTTTAACTATATGGGAACTGTTTTAATAACTTCTGACTTGATAAACGTAATTGATAATTAGAATATTTCAAATTACTGTTTCTAAGGGACTCAAGTCACTCTTTTAAATTACTTAGAAGTGCTCACTCCCATCAGACACTGCTTTTATCTGTCTACTTCTCTACATCTCCTTAGACAAGCCACAGCTTGGCCACCATGATTTCATGCGTGGGTTACAGTGACAACCCTCTAACTGGTATGTCTCTTCTTTGTTTCTTTCTTTTTTTTTTTTTTTTGTCTTTTTCCGTGTCCGGCAATGGATCGCAACCCTCAGTGTTGCCCCCGCACCTCACTCAGCCAGTGAGCGGGAACCGGTCTGTATGTGGGATCCGAACCCTCGGGCGGGAGCGCCGCTGCGCTTCCCAAGCAGCGCACTATCCAGTGCGCCACCGGGCCAGCCTTCTTTGTTTCTTTCTAATCCAGTCTCCACACAGCAGACTTAGCGATCTTTCTAAAACATAAGTATGATCATATACTCCCTGGTTTTGGATATTTCCTACTGACCTTAGGAAAGACACTAAAATTCGTAACATGAATATCATGACCTGTAAGACCTAGGTGATGTGGCCTTTTCTTATCTCATCAGCTCTGCCCTTCAGTAATCTTAGCCTCTTCTCATTCCTAGACCACACCCACGTGTCTAGGAGTCTTCACACATGGGTTAAGAACTTCTGGAGCCAGAGGACTACATGTGAATTAGTTACATCTTTTTGCTTTGGTTTATTCATCTGTAAAACGGAAGAAATAACAGTACCTACTTTATAGGGTTGTCGGGAGGATTAAAGAAGTTAATGCAGCAAGTGAAGCCTGACTCAAGGTAAGTACCCAATAAAGATTAATGATGATTATTTACCGAGTTAACTCTTGGACCTCTTTCTGATCTTGGCCCTAATGTCAGTCAGTCCCTCAGGAAAACCCTCACTGATAATCCCCTAGGCTTGGTCAGGTCCTCCTATTTTATGCTCTTGCAGCAACTTATACTTTGCCTTTCATAGCATGCTTTGTAATTATATATAATATGATGTATTTATTCGCATAAGTATTCATTTTTAAAAAATCTGATGAGGGTCAGTATTTTCAAGACAGTCAGTTCCATGAGGGCAGGGGCAGCTGTGTCTCCAGGGTTTTCCTAGCACACAGTAGGTGCTTGATAAATATTTGTGGAATGACTAAATTTAAGTAGTTTAGGACACACTTTCCCACATATAGTATGATTTTATGCTTTCCCCGTGGTGGAATCCATGTGTAGAGGTGAGCAATGCCTGAGTGCAGCCCCCTCCCCTCAATTCAGTTTCCTCAACTAATGGAGCTGGGTGGGAGCTAGTGAGGAGGACTGGGAGTTGTGAAACAGGAGAATGGGTTTTGGTGCTAGCTCAGTTAGCTCAGTTTCAATCTGGTTTCTAGCTCAGTTAGCTCAGTTTCAATCTGGTTTCTCAATCTTGGACGAAACATTTAGTCCTAGGGCCTAGTTTTATTTCCTAAATTTGTAAAGCAAAAGATTTGATTAGTGGTTTAAACCAACAGTGGTTTAACTTTCTCTTTTTATTTATTTTATTTTATTTTATTTTTTTTTTTGTTTTGTTTTTTTGAGCTATCTTTTGTGCACAGGAAATTCTCTGTGAAACAAAAGAAAGCCGAGTTGGTGGGGTTGAAACTGTGGCTGGGGGCCAGGGCCCAGCTTAAGGTTTCTGGCAACAGGAGATCTCCAGGTCACAGCAAGGGGACTGTGGGCCTATATGTCCTCTGCTCCCACTCCTCCAACTCTCCAGTTGGTCGCTGCTACTTCCACTGCCTCTAGTCTAGGGGCAGCTCTAGGTGTCAAGGGAGCGTGCTCTCCTGCCATGATCCAGACAAGAGGCGGCCAGCAACCAGAGGATTGAGTCACTGTCTCTTCAGCCATCTTTGTACGAAACCATGATGCACATACTGTCATATCTCCTTCAAGGAGTTCAAGGGACCACATACCATTATCCATACCCAGACTGTGTCACTCTGTCTTACACATGCTTTGATTTACTGCTCAAATTCTTGCCCTTGGCCTTTCAGTGACAACTGGGAGGCCTGAAAAAGATTATGCATCTTCTAGTAGTATCTGGAGTGGCACAAATTCCTCATGAAATCCAATGCAGGCTGTGTTCTTGTACCTGAGCCTGAATGGTTGGGGCAAAGCAGGAGGCCCTGTAGGGTGGGAACAGTTTGCCACACACTTAGTCACTCATTCCACAAATATTTACAGAGCTCCAGTGAGTGCCCAGCATTTTGGATTTCCACTGCCTAGCAGAGCCAGGCCCATGATCTTTTCTTTCTCTTTATGAGGCCAGGAGATAGAACAGGGAAAGGGAGAGACCCCCAGCTTTCTGTCACCCACTTCTCTTCACATGGAATCTGCCCATCCCCATGACTCAGTGTTTTTCCAGATACCAGACTTCCTACTCATGTTTTACGTTATCTATATACCAAAAGAAAAAAATAATAAAACAAAGATCATAACACAGCTGTCTTTCGGTTCTACCACTCTGGCCTGGTAACATGTTCAAGGGAACAGGGTGGAGAGAGACTGATTTTCATCCAGACATGCCCATGTCGTTCCATTTACTGAGAGTGTTCTTTTCAGAAGTAGTAACTTAGTAATTCTTGAGGTTAAAAAGGAGGTACACATGCCAATAAATTGATATGCCCATGATATGTTTTTTAGGCAAAATAGGCATTTAGGTGGAGAAGGTATTCCCAGAGTGGTCGTCTCTAGTGGGAAATGCTGTGTATAGTCAGTGAGTGGTCTTAAATGGCTGTTTCCACAAATCATTCATTCCGGTAAGAGATGGAGCATGGAGCACACACTTTACATAAGCTTGTCTACAAGAACCTGGAGATCATCTGGAATGGAAGGCTGAAGCTCTGGTTCCAAATCATGACAGAGTATTTGGAAATTCTCTTATCAATGAGCAGTCACAAATCCCCAACACTAAATGTTTCTAGGCCTGGGGGAAATTTATAAACCAAGGGCAAGAGAAT